CAAGTGCCTCTCTCTCACCCTTTGATTTTCCTGTAAATGCTTCTCTTTTGATCTATGATATGTTTTAAACTATTGTTTATTCATTTAGGGTCATGTTTGCATGATCTAATGTGTCTTTTTGGAACATAAGTAGCCTGGGAAGCTTGAACCATGCATTGAAAAAATGTCATATAGGACACCATCACCACTTACCTGACCTCACAGGATAATGTCCAGTTAGGTTACACCAGTTCAACCCACCCAAGTTATTCTTCAGTCCTATGAAATCGGCCAAACGGAAGCTAGCAACATTAACTTGGTTGTAACTGTAACTTCATGATCTATCCTTGGATGAAATGAGGTGATATGTGACTTATCATTAGACAGGCAAGGCAGTCATATTCTTGCAGGCGGGCAATGTTTCGAAATTGATACTTGCATGAGATTGGCAGTATTATTTGACGTATCTTTGCGTTACTGAGAAAGGGATTTTCTCTTACCTTACATATCTGAGGATCCTCATCTGATCCATCTGTGCAGTGCTTAACGCCGTTACAGACGTTTATCAAACTGATGCAGTTCCCACCAGTTTTACACTCTATCTCTTGTGAGTTGCAGGTGGCCGCCGCAGCTCTGTCTGCAGTGAGCCGGGAGAGAGAGGTGAAGGCTGAGTATGGAATATGTTCTGTAATTAAAGTGTGCTTTAAAATGAAAAACTAATCACAACTCTAATGCTATTGTCTTGAGAGCAAATGCCTAGTTCACTTGATGCCAGAATTATGTGTGGCCTAGTTTATTGAAGATAGTCCTGTGTACTTGTCCCAACTTTGTAGGACTGGGCCTGCTCCTTTTAGCATGTTTTGCGAGTATAATCATACACACAGTATTTAAGCCAAAATCGCAAGTTTTTACCTATTCGGCACGGCACACACACACACACACACATACATACATACATACATACATACATACATACATACATACATATATATATATGCCTTGGTTCACCTAATAGTATGTTGTTAGTCATTATGCAAGTCATATGCCTTAGGTAATTACCTGGAATCATCAATAACTAAAGAATAATGAACTTTGTCATAAGTTAATTTTAGTGTCATTAAGTAAACATTGCGATTTGTACAAAAGCCCAATAATTACCGAAACGTCGTAATAAGATTAATTCGACTATGTGAGGGTTATTTGTGTATTATTCCAGTTACGGTATTGTGCCTACTTTATCATGCCGAATATGTAAAACTGGTCAATTAGCAAGAACTCATTTAAAATTAAGTCCTTTCAAAAATTTTCTCTTATACGTTTAAAGATATATTTTTTTTCATTAATGTTTAATGTAAAAAAAAAATTTAAATTTTGCACCAAAAGAATCTTAGAAAACTTACCTAACCTTATTATAACAAGAACAATTTATTTTAGCCTAACCCAACTAAATATATTTTAGATTTGTTTACAATAATTTAATACTAAACAAACACAGTGAAATATATTTTTTTCGTTAGGCTCAGAATGAATTTTGGCGAAATTATTGCATACACAAATTTTCACTTGTCCTATATGGCAAGATGAACATTGCTATTTAAGCCAAGATCGCAAGTTCTGCCCATTCGGCACGACAAATATATATATATATATATATATATATATATATATAATATAATAAATATATATATATATATATATATATATATATATATATCATGTGGGTTTTCGATACGGGGATAGGTAAGAATACTCACGTAGGCTGGTAGTACGTATAATATAACGGAAAGTGTGGGAAGCGCCAACAGCCGACCTGCCTCTCTCTGCTCTTTATCTTGACTGACCCATGAGTGCCTATGGGTGAGGGGGTGTTTGAAATCCTGCTATGGTCAGCAGAAAATATGAATACAGTCAGTGATTCACGCAGAGAACGGTTGGTAGTGAGTCATCTACTGGTAAAACTGGTTACTGGTAACTGGTTACTAGGAACTGGTACTACTACTGAGAGCTCGGCGACGAGCTCTCAGTAGTAGTACCAGTTCCTAGTAACCAGTTACCAGTAACCAGTGTACCAGTAGATGACTCACTACCAACCGTCTCTGCGTGAATCACTGACTGTATTCATATTGCTGCTGACCATAGCAGGATTTCAAACACCCCCTCACCCATAGGCACTCATGGGTCAGTCAAGATAGAGAGCAGAGAGAGGCAGGTCGGCTGTTGGCGCTTCCCACACTTTCCGTTATATTATACGTACTACCAGCCTACGTGAGTATTCTTACCCCATCCACGTTAACGAAAAAACCCACATGACATATATGCCTTCTGTTACATAAGTAACGTCTCTTCCTCATTTCTTCACTCCGTCCGTAACTTATACAAATAAACGATTAGAAACGAATCTGATACTAAAAGAAGAACTCAGAGGAAACAAAACATCAAAATTGTACTTACTTATAAAAAACAGAGCAGCGAGTGTTTGTACTAAGAGAAACATCAGAGCCATGACGGTGATCCTGGAAAGTGATATTATTGTCAAACGAGTCGACTGCAAAGAGGCCAAACACTTCTTGAAATTTATTGTTCATTATCATTCACTGTTTATATTTAACTTCTGCTTATTGTAGATTTGCAATGTGTATCAGAGTATTCTTGATAATACTTGAGACAGAGCACATGTAAACACGTAATAATGGGTGTTGAAACATATCTTATTTAAGACAGACAGCACATGTAAACACGTAATAATGGGTGTTGAAACATATCTTATTTAAGACAGACAGCACATGTAAACACATAATAACGGGTGTTGAAACATATCTTATTTAAGACAGACAGCACATGTAAACACATAATAATGGGTGTTGAAACATATCTTATTTAAGACAGACAGCACATGTAAACACATAATAATGGGTGTTGAAACATATCTTATTTAAGACAGACAGCACATGTAAACACATAATAATGGGTGCTAAAACATGGAGCGATACTCTCTTTTCCCGGCAAAAGGGGCTGACCACCTCAAATACTATTCCTCCATGCTGAGGGACTGATTACATCATTTTCATTTCACTACTACACCTGCTGCCTTTTATTGACTGAAGAAGCCTAGCGTAGGCGAAACGTTTTTAACAAAAAAGATACCCAACTGTTGCCCCATGAGTCAGAACTCATAATACCAAGACAACACTGCCACCCGCGGCTGCTCCCACAACCTGATATTCAACAATAAAACGGCCCCAATACCGCAACTGGAATACACAAATAACCTTCACATCGGAGCTTTCGAACCCTTTTCACGACGTTTCGCTCCGAATTGGACTATTAACTAGTGACTAGGTGTCACTAATTAATAGTCACAATCGGAAACCCAAACATCATAACTTTCAGTCGTTTATGTGCGGGTTTATTTGTGTCTTGCATGTACCAACAAAGTCATAACTTTTTGCAAATTAATAATGGTGACTCAGACACATGGGCAACACCGGGGTAATTTTGAGACCCTTTTCGCCCATCAGGGGTTTTGCAATAACGTATAGTAATTAATGACCCCCTCCCTCCCCCCGAGAGTGCAAAATATTTATTTAAAAAACTTGTAGATATTGTATATATCTCTTATACATCAACGTGTCAGTATTGTATGATTTTGATATTGTTGTAGTAACTGCATTATTACACATATCAGTCTGCTTACGACCTATTAATTTATTCAAATACCTTTTTACTTTGATCTCGATTATTTTTTATTATTATTATTATATTAATTTTTATATTATTTTTATTATTATTATACTACCTACTACTACTACTACTTACACGACTTGCTCGGTAATGTCTTTGTACTGCAAAACCTGTTAGGGAATTTTTCGTCTTACGAGATGCCGACACGATGGTAGAGACAAATGTTGTGTAATGGAACCTATATTGACGATGTTTCGACCACCTAGTGGGGTTAAAAGTGGGTTTAAACCCCCTTAGTGACACGTCGTCAGTAAATAATTTTAAAGAAACTAAATTTGTGTCTATATTTTTTTCCTTTTGAACCAACATATTATTTCGATCAAATTTGCTAAAATAGATTTAATTGGGATAGAAGTAGTCGGCCATGTACCTTTTCCACCCTAAACCAACCAATTCCATTAGTCATATTTTAACTTGTACATTAAGTACCATTATTACATGCAAACATATAAAGTATATTGTTTACTTTAACTTTCACCGTCTCTACATTCATTAAAGCAACAAACGAGTACACACAGAATTCAGTTATAAATCTATAAACAAAATGCAGCCAGGTACACAAAATAACGTGTGGATAATTTATTAACTACAAGACAAAATGCAGCCAGGGACACAAAACGTGTCAACAATTTACCTTAATGAAGGGAGGGAGCAGCGAGGGTGTTAGCTCGGCTGTGGTGGGTGGAATACTGGTGGAGGGTTCCCGCATGACAGTGGTGGCCGCAACAAAGGTGAAGGTCCCAGACAAGGCTGTGATCACTGCAACAATGGAGGGGCTCCCAGCCGGGAAATCTGTGCCTCTGTAACGTGTCGCTTTGACAAGATCAGGAGAGACTTCAAGACATCTTAACAGACAAACTTAGGAGAGAGTCATCAAAACATGTTAACATACATTGCGCTCAATAAAGTTGATGTTTCTCTGCATGTGAACTGGTTACAGATACCTTTACGATTCATACGGCTTTGTCACTTATTTTTTTAAATATATTTTTTTCTTAAGAAAGCACTATAAAAATAACCGGCACTTAGAAGAAGGAAAATATTGACGACGATTCAGGTCGACTTGGATCATGGACAAGTCACATCTGCAGCGAGAAGGAAATGCCAGAATATATACACGAGAAGGGTTAAGGGAAGATGGCAGGTGGTATGATAGTGGAAATAGAGATGGTGGTAGTAGTAGTAGTAGTAATAATATTAGTAGTAGAAGTAATAGTGGTAGTAATTATAGTAGTAGTGGTAGTAATAGCAGTAATAATAATAATAGTAGTACTAGAAGTAGTAATAGAATATTATTATTATTAGCATTATTATTAGTAGTTTTTTTTATAATTTATTTATAACATACAATACATTAACAAAACATACAGCATGAGAGCATCGACAGACAATATAAATTCATCAATTTCTATACACTGCAATATGCAGTAATATGTCATGCAGCTGCTAGGTGAATACTGCCATATACATAATTCATTACTACAAAATATAACTATTCAAGTAATACAAAATAAAGAATCCTCTTACTCCTTCCCGACTGCTAATTTCAATATACACACACAATAATTACATGCCGCAAAAATGCAAGCAGTATAACCCCCCCTATTTACCCCAGCTCACCAAAATGTAAGCATTCACCGTGTTTATTTAACTTATAACTGAACCATACTAAATTAAACTTAAGAACATATTAAATTTGAAAACAATAACAACTCTACAGTAGTGAAAACGCCAGCTGCTGTCCAAATATTATTTATATATACATAAATTATATTATAATATATATATATAATATTATAAATAATATATAATATATATATATTTTACATTAGAAACTGAATTATTTTACAAGGGGAGTCAAATCCTATCTTTATTGCTGTCCCATGCAGCATTCTCAGACTTCTACTTTTATACGCTACTACGATAGCCTTCAGCAGAAGGCATTAATTAACAATATTAAATAACTACTAAGAACGCATGAACTCAGCACTCCCATGCACATCCCAATTACACACAATCGTTCTCTCTTGCACTTATCACTCACCCACGCACATGCACACCAAACCAACATCTTTCGTTTGGCAAGCCCGTTTGGTACCCCCCCCCTTTTTTTATCTAATGCTTTACACATCAATCTAAACCCACTTCCCCCCCCCCTCACAACTCTAGCAACTCCCCAACATTTATGGACCTGTAACCCTCAGTGAAAGCTCCCTCCCATCTCCTCCCATAAATTTCCCGATTCCTATTCATTGTCCTACAAAAAATCCTCGCTAAAACTCGTTTCCTCGTCTCCCCATTATCCACCCCTCTCATTCCCCACGATATGTACACGAAATCCACCACGATATAAGCTACTCCCCGTGCCACATTCTCCCCCCCCCCTATATCAAGACTCAGCGCTCTCAACACTGACACCCCAGTTCCTCCTATCCTCCTGACCACTTTCCCCAGCCATTCCCTCACACTCCCCAAATAATCGCAAAAGTATACCACGTGATAGGCTGTTTCCAACTCCCCACATAACCCACACCAACCCTCCTCTACCACACGTCTGTTTCTGAGGACTGATCCAGTAGGCAGAATCCCGTGTAAAAATTTAAACATGATCTCTCGCACCCTGGGCCCTAGCTTTAGTTTACCGAACAGACTCCATATAGCGCCCCATGCATACATCGGAACAGCCCCTCAACGGGGGCCGTCTCCTCTACCCTCAATATTCGATATAAATCCCTCACCTTTAATTTGTCTGGCTCGCGCACCCACAAAAGTGCCCTCAACAAAATCTCACACTCCCTCCATTCCCCACCCACATACATTCCCCTCAAAATATCATGTAACCTTTGCATGCATGTCCCCCTCTGTCCCCCGAATCTTTTCCACTCCCACCTGACGAAAATGCATTTCACCCTCCTTCCCAGGTCCAACAAACCTAAACGTCCCTTCCTCACCGGCAAACTCACCACCTCCCTCTTCATCCATTCACATCCTGAGCCCCATAAGAACCTAAAAACACTTCTAAGGATACGAGTAATCTCAGCCCTCAGCAATGGAAAAACTGCTGCTACATACCATACCTTACTGTACAGCAATACGTTAATAACAATCGCCCGTTGCAACAATGTCAAGTGATAAGGCCGTAACATCCCCAACCGATTTTCCACGCGTTCCACCATTCTCAACGAATTCGCCTCCCTAGCCTCCCGTATGGTCGCTCTATACGAAATGCCACATATTAATAACTGCCCTTCCTGCCTTCTCACCACATCACAGTCCCAATCAACTCTGTCTCTCCACTCCCCTAGCCCCATGATCTTTGTTTTCTCAACGTTTACCGTCATGCCTGTCGCCCCTCCAAACATGCCAACCACCCCTCCCAACTCTCTCATCTTGTTCCCTTCCGGACTAGGAGTGTCGTGTCATCCATGTAACCTACCACATGATGCCTAATCAAGCCCTCCCTCGACCCCTCCCCACCACACACTCTGGTCTCAACCAACCTATAAAAATGGATCTTGCACACATTTCAAATATAACTGTGATAGCGGGCAACCCTGCCTCAAGCCCCTATCCATGTTCCACCACACCTCCCACACTTCCATTGATCTGAATTCTCGCTTTTGCCCCTTTATACAACGTTTCAACCCCACCCACAATCTCATCCCCAAAACCTTGTTGCTAAGGATCTGTCTTAAACCCTCCCTTTCCACCTGATCATAAGCACCCTGCCAAACAATCGCCACCATACCCCTCCTTCCTGCATCCCCTCAAAACTCTCAACAAACCCCTTTAGAATTCCGTGCCCCATGACCATCGACCGTCCAGGCAACCCTAGTTGACCTTTTGAAACTACACGTCCCACTACACATTTAACCTATTCCCCAAAATCTTCGCGAACAATTTATAGTCCGCACACATGAGAGTAATCGCCCTGTAATCCTTAAGTGTACTCTGCCCCTTACCCTTGGGCACAAGCACTACGACCCCTGTACTTTGCTTCTCGCCCAATTCTCCCCCATCTTTCATTCTATTGAACAGCGTTACTAAAAAACCCCTTAACAGACCCCAATGTTTTAAGTAAAATTCACTTGGTAGTCCATCAATACCTGGTGCTTTGCCTCTGCACATGTCTACAAGCGCTCTCCATATCTCCCCCTCTTCAATCTCACCACCCAAAGCTTCCCTGTCCTTTCTCCCCAGAGCTACGGGCTCTACAGCACCACACCCCATCAAGATCCTCCCTATTAACTCCTTTACTTTTCCAATAATGCCCATACCACGCATCCGCGAACATACTCATCACCTCCGTGTTTTTAACACCTGCCCCTCCCTAAACCCTTTCACCTCAGTGTGCACTTCCAAATCTGCTATTGTGGTCGCTGTCCTCCTCTGCTGTTGTCTCCTCAACACACATGCCGATGGCTTGTCCCCCCAAAGCACTTCCTCCACACCCGCCTGCACCCGCACCGCATGAAATCTCTCCTCCTGCACCTCTCTTATCCTGCTCTTCAGATCATCTATTGCCTCTGTTTGGAATACCCCTCCCACTACTCCTTGCTCATGATAGTATCCTATTCTACTTTCCAAATAATTTGTTAATCCATACTTCAGTCGATTTATACGCTTCCCCTCACCCACGTAAAACCTACGAATCCTCTCCTTGGCCACACTGTCCCACCAACGTACAACATTATCAACCCTTTTTCCTCCTCACTTAGCTTCCTCCACAGCGAAGCAAACCCCTCCTCCACTTCCTCATCCTCAAGGAGTCGTGTGTTTAATTTCCAGTAGCTTTCAAACCGTTTCACTAACGAGTCCCATGCTACCCCCACCACCACTGCCCTGTGATCTGAATAAATTGCTTCTATAGTGTTAAAAGACTCCACTGAAACCCCTTGCGTTATATAGATCCTATCCAGTCTAGCTGCGTATTCCCTCCTTACATACGTATGTTGCACTTCACCTATTCCACCCCAAAATACATCTCGTTACCCCAATACTCTACACAGGTCTCGCCAACACGTTTGAAAAAAATCCCGCCTCCGCTGGCATCACATCAAATCTCCATATTATTTTCAATTCCAATCTCCCCCCAACAATGCAACCCGGGCACGCTCTCAAAAAATCAACCCGATCAACCCTTACAAATGCCGTTTTTTCCCTGCATCGTTCTCCCCCGGAGCATACACTCCAAAAAAGGGGACACGCTTTCACGCATCTACCACCCCCCACTCTCATTATTTTTCCCCCTCACCCCCCCCTAACCCTTTGCAAAAAAAAACGGGCTTGCCTCACGAATTTTAAAAGGTCTTTGGGATTACAAAACCCCCTATACCACCCACCTCCAGCTTTTTTCCTTTTTTTCAAGTTATGCTTTGCATAAGGCAACATCTCCTTGTAACGATACAGCAGTCCCGCAACCCACATTTCCCACTCTTACTAAACCCATTAAATTAATTGTTACACCTTAGGCCCTGCTTACATTTCCACCCACTTTTCCCACCACATTTTTCCGCTGTCCAAGTAGGGCCTCAACCACCGTCCTTGGCACTCCCCCATCCCCCCCACTCCAAACCCCCCTTGCTGCGTTTCTTTTTCTCTGTGCCTCACACACCCCTCAACCCCCGCCTTTTCCCGGGTCTTTGTGGGATGAGAGTCTCCGAGTCAGCGTGACACTGCCCGCTTCCCTCGACACTTCCCTCTTCCCCCCTGCATTCCTACCCCTATTGTGCACCTCCACCTCATCCCTCTTTCCCCCTTTCCCTACTTGGC